TTCCAGGAGATGGAGAGACGCTTCGACTGCGTCTAATCGCGCCTGTATTCGTAGGAACTTTTTGTTGGGATTCAGTTGAGGGAGTATTGGGTCGGGAAGTTGGTTTTTGTGAGCTTTTAGAGGGCTGGCTGGCATTTTTGCCCTTTTTTTGGGTTTTGGTTTTAGGGGGGCTGTTTTTGTTATTCAATCGGTTTATCTTCCGCTGCAATTGGGAGCAGAAGAATTCCAATTGGGGAATGTTATCGAGCTCATCGATTAATAAGTTTAATTCATCGGTAGCAGAGTGGAACTCTGTAGCTACCTCAGAAATGCTAGAGGGTGGAAGGATGGGTAGGGATTCTATTGAGGTTGAGGGAGAAAGGGGAGGGAACTCGGTTATATTTTCCAAGTCAGGTGCCTGACGGCTACGTGAACGCAAAGTGCGTTCAGACGACATTTTAGAAAGTACTACTTAATAGACTCTGTTTTTTTGGTTTACTGGCCGCTGCCCTACGCGGTTGTTCACACTCTATGTGCAATGAGTGGTTTCCTCTTGAGTTCTCAACTTACTGGATCAGTATCTGTTTCTGGTTACCCTTAAAAGAGCCTAGCAGTGTCTCCCTGACGCTCCAAGTAAGTGTCCCGAGGGCTTACGCTTAGTTGCACAATATAGAGTATCTACAGTTGCCTTACTTTATTGTCAGGATGTAAAATACTAACAAAAAAGCTTGGTTAAACTGTAAACCAATCTACACGTGGTAGATTTCGCGCGGAATTCTTCGTGACGTCAACTGATTTGGCGCCAAGGCTACCAGCTATTTGTGTAGGCCACGCCCACTAGCTGGTTTTACACTTGGCTTCTCCTCAGTTGTCGAAAATTAACGTAGATTCCGCTTCGCAGCAGACTCAACTATCAACCTTGGTATAAGAATTTCGTCCTCCCTCGCAAATATATAACTACCATCAGTAGACTTAGATTTGGCCATGCATGTTATCCTGTACATTTATTTAAAATAAATATATTAGATTCGGATATTTGTCAAGAATGTCAGCTTAAAAGTGACTTAAACCACATATTTTTTGAATGTCAAAAGTATAAACAACCCACCAACAACCTAATTAAAAGAATGATAGACAAGAACATCCCTCTTCCTGTTAATATTCTCTTTCTACTATCAGTCAATGAGAAGAAAATGTATAACTGCTTGATAACCTTTTTGTCTGATAGTAAAGTATGCTGTAATTAGTAAGATTTGTAACCTATGTTTAGAAAATATTCATGAAAAAAATAATAAAAAAAAATTATTAAAAAAAAGTCCAAAAAAAAATAAAATAAAAAGAATATAAAAAAATACTTAAAAAAAAAGATTTAAAAAGAAAAAAAATATATATTAAAAAAAAAAAGAAAAAAAGATGATTATAAAAATACATTAAAAAAAGAACAAAATAAGAAAAAAAAAAAATAAAAATATACTAAAACAATCACTAAGAGGATCTAAACCTCCGATATGTTGAATCGGGTTTATGTCCTAACGTAGTGAATATATATACCTATATATATATATATATATATATATATATATATATATATATATATATATATATATATATATATATGTATTACCATAGTTATAGTTATTAAGTTATTAACATAGTAGGTAGATATCTTTATTTTTATTTTTTTTTATTTGTAAGATGTATACACTATAAATTTCTGATGGCGTCTCTCAATAACTAAATTATAATAAAAGTATGATACAGTATTTATTAACATAGTTTGAAAAAAAAAACGAGAGAATAGCATTACGGCGTGTTTATCAGTTTTTATGGTTTAAACTTATAACTGATATTTCCGGGCATTATTATTACCCTTTGTAAACAAGACAGCCTTAGATTTGCCCACAGAGACATTCAAATTATGATGGTCCAGCCAGACCTCAAGATTAGCTAAATATTTGTTTATTTTTGATATTATATTTTTTACGTTCACTCCTTTGACCAAAAATTACAAAATCGTCAACATACTGTAACTGGCTTTAACATTTTTGGGAACACATTATGTATTGAGTGTATATGTTGAATAGCCTTGAACTTAATGGTGATCCTTGTGTAAGTCCAGTGCTAGTGGTATTGGGCAATGTACCTACTAACCCAGAGTTATCTTAATGATAACAAACAGTTCTCTGCATTTAAATCATACGAGGTTAGCTAAATTATGTGGTATATCCAATGCATTAATGTAGAGTACAGTTTGTCAATACCCCAATGTGGCCCAGTTTAATCTTCCCTCCGGATTAATTAGTTGATCACTGTGTTGTTTTTTGTCATATCCTTTTATGTCTAGATTCCTTCTTTTGATGGGTAGAGATTTGATTATATTTTGCTATATTTGTATCATTCTTTAGGTTTCTATTCTTCTTTCTGTGATGTCTATTATATTATTAGGCTTGGATTCTTAATGCAAGGTAGGAAAATTCTCTTCATTCAAAGAATATTCCCTGTTTTCTTTTTTTGGTATTTGTATGTTCACATCATAATATGAAATATTAGAGAAATACATTAGGGCTTTTATTTCCTTTTGTAGTTAGAATTATTCACTTTTTTTATCTTTGGAGATATGATCATGATTTTTGCAATGAATGCAGTAAGTTTAACAATTCGAGAAATCTCCTTGTTGGTTTTCCCCACATTTCTGGCACTTTGGGTTTCGTCTGCATTGATTATTATTGTGACCATATAAAAGACAATTTCCACACATTAGAATTGGGCTGATATATGGAATAACCCTCATGGGTTATCCACATACAAGAACCTTCCTGGGCAGTGATTTTCCTGTAAATGTAATGAATATGTACATAAACTTGTTCTTTGCCCTCTTCAAGGATTCTCCTATTTAATCTTTTTATGTCAATTACTTTACAGGAGGCAATTTTTGTTTCAATTGCATTTTTAATTCAAACTTCAGATATTTCTTTGCATATATTTCTTATTACTTATACCCTTGCAGGAGACATTGTGATTTGGAATAAAAACATTGTATACTTATTTTTTTTTTTTTCATTCACAAATAGATTTGCTGATTTAAACGCTTTAAAAACAACATCTAACGAGTTTTTTCCTTTTCGATTAAATTTGATAATTTGCTGTACCTAGGTTTAAGTAAAAAATTGTTTTAGCAATTCTTAAAATGTGGAAATTTCCTATATTTTTCTCTTTTCCCTGTACATATAATTCGAATGGACCGGAATCATATATATTATATTGGTTATTAATTTTTTCCCACTTAAATCTGGCAGGGGTCACGTTTATCAGGATCGAGTTTAATGGTCTCCATTTTCGACTGGAAAAACCGTGTAGGTACTTTATTACTTGTTACTATTAAGTATTTATGCGATGGGATCGGGTTATAAACAAAGGATTGTTAGTAATAGCACAGTCAATCTTACTCTAAATTTTCACCATCCTATTGCTATAGCCATGACGATTTCGAAATCTAAATTTTAACGAAATCTTGATAGTAGAGGGCCAGCAGATCGAAAGAGTAAAAAAGTACACTTACCTAGGAACACTTATAACAGAAAATAATGACTACACTGCAGAAATCAAAGTCGGCATCGAAAAAGCACGTTCTAATTTTATGACAATGAAAAAGGTCCTATGTGGCAAAGATTTAACATTAGCTCTTAAAGTACGCCTAACAAAATGTTACGCATACAGTTTACTGTTCTATGGAGTGGAAACATGGACGTTAAATCTAGACACAATGAGACTACTTGACGCCTTTGAAATGAGGATCTATAGAAGCATTATGAGTGTTTCCTGGGTAGATAGAGTTAACAATGAAATACTGAGAAGAATAGGTAAAGAGAAGGAAGTTGAAGTTACAATTAAAGAAAGAAAGCTACAGTATCTCGGACATGTGATGCGGGGCGGGAAGTATGGCATCCTGCGACTCATATTGCAAGGAAAGATAGATGGCAGATGAAGCATCGGAAGAAGACGAATTTCATGGCAAGATGCAGCTCAAAACAACTATTTAGAGCTACTGCCTCAAAAATTAAAATAGCTATGATGATTGTTTCCGTAGCGGAGATGGCACCTGAAGAAGAAGATTCCTATAGCAGACGAGGTAAGTTTGTTCAGATGAAGCCAGCTTAAAATGAGATAGAGACTAATATAGCTATCTATTTTGACCTTAGACAAGGAAAGTTTGACACACGCGTTCTAAAATATAGTTGTTTATTTAACGGCGTTTGTGAAGCAATACCTAAAAATAGTTTTATTAACACAAAAATTATTTGTGAATTAACCTAATTTTTCAATAATATTTAAAACTCTTTAAGCATAAGTACTTACCTAGGACTATTAAGTAGGTACAGGTATACAAATAAACTTTTTTATTTTGATCTTTTCTATAAAACAAATATTGCTTTAGAGCTAAATTTTAGATATGGTCGGAAATGATAGCTAAGTATCTACTAGAAAATCGTTTTATCAATAACGAGCAAAAATAATTTGAATAAAGCTATTGAAGCAGTATAAAAATATTGTGACTTGGTGTTATTGGCGTCTGAGTACCAAAAGAACAAAAATTAAAGTTTCAAGAACCCAACATAATATGTTGGGTAATTGGCATTGGGTTAGTTTAAAGAAGCTGATTACATCAACGATTTAATACAATTAAACACAGAGCTGAATGAAACTGGCTTTTGGTCGTTAGAGTGCCAAATCCAGACGGTGGCTTCTGCATAATGAATGAATAAGTCGCAGACCGAGATATTAATTAATTTATTGGAATTGTATCTCATTTTATCCCAGTATATGTTTAAAATAACTTTAAGAAACCGCATTAAGTCCATAGCAACTTTCTAATTATTAAAAAAACTAAATGTACTATTAAATGGCAGTACATTATGTATTATACATACTAGAATGTGGTAGATATTTCTATCTATGAAAACTCACAACAATGTGCCGCCATTTTTAAAAATGTCTTTCGAGGTCATAAGCTGTTTTCAAACGATCGATGTGCTTAACACGATATCGATTTATTATCTTTTACCTTTTACTGTCAATGGAGTTCTGAAAACAGTCTTAAAGCAAAACCACTCTTTTGAGTTATTTTTACGGAGCTACTATGAATATTAATTGTATTGTCTTTCCATTTTCACAATCCAAAATTCCCTTGAAATTAATCAGAAAGGATTTTTCCGCCTAAAAGAAGAAAGTAATAGAAATCAAAATAAGTCCCCAATAAAAAGAAGACAGTATTTTAATTTCAGTCCATAAAATAAATAGGTAAGTAAAATTGTCCATAATACAGTCAATTTGATTCTCAATAATCACAAAAACAATATTATGGGTCGCTAAGTTAGGTTATAATTTATAATATAAACCCATCCCAGATTCCCCATTGTATTGCCGCTAAAACAGTGTTGCCGGTATCTTGAAATTTATATTTGTATTTATATATGTATATATATATATATATATATATATATATATATATATATATATATATATATATATATATATATATATATATATATATACCCAAATTAGACTCTTTGGGTAAAAACAGCTGAAAGAGTGTACTCTTTAGTCCTTTATTGATCCAATATTTTTTATAACTTAATCTTTTATTTTATTTTTAACTTAATCAGCTTTATTTTCTAACTTAATCAGCTGTGATAACCACAATATATATATATATATATATATATATATATATATATATATATATATATATATATATATATATATATATATATATACAAGTTAGGTTTAATATAAATTTAAAAGCTGTGTTAACTAATCCCATAATTGGTGCTATTAATCTGTAACATTTTAATATTTTACAATATTAAAATAAGTAAAGATGCCTTTTACATATTTATTATTGTTTCGTCAATAGTTGTATACATAATTTTTTAACTCAGTTTGTATTTAAATATAAACAAAATCATAACCAGCGTTATTTTTCTGAATCGAAATTCTACGGTTATAAACGTTATAACAAAATTAGTGGGAAATGGTGTTTTAGAAGCCATACCTTTATCATGACCACATTCCCTCGTGATAAACAACAGTTTACTCATGGCAACGTTGTCGCTCTGTCAGAAACACCTTTTTTCATTTACGTTTATTTTCACGTTGGTGCACGGCGTCCATCTTGAATTATACTACAACCTTATTTATAATCACTAAAAGCTTTGTTAAACCATGTAAATTTACGCAATTTATTTTAAGAAATTGTACTATACCGTAGTGGGTAAATATTAAAACAGGTAGGTTGTTTTTATTATATTTAAAAATTGAGTAGGAATGAGATATGTTTATATACAAAGCTGTCAAAGTTTCGGCCTGTAGAGTATGTAATCTTCAGCCACAGCATTTTTTAGTATAATATATATATATATATATATATATATATATATATATATATATATATATATATATATATATATATATAATCTCTATATAATGTTAACCTACGTTCACAAGCATGTATAAAAATTTACGGGTGTTAAAAAAGAAATGATACATAGATTTTTAAATTTTTTCCCTTACTTTTGTTAAAATCTTTGTCTAATCTTTGAATATTTGTACAATCTTTTGGTATATATCTACAAGCACTACATATTACGAGTAGGTGTAATACATATAAAAATATACTCTTAAACTACAGCCTTGGTATGTCAGTTATCAAATAGTAGGTGTTGTCTGAAGTTTTTAATATATATATATATATATATATATATATATATATATATATATATATATATATATATATATATATATATATATATATATATATATATATATATATATATATATATATATATATATATATATATATATATATATATATATATATATATATATATATATATATATATATATATATATATATAAAGATCATCAGTCCGATGTTAAATTGTAAACACTACAATTCAACATAATATTGGACAGACACACCAATATCTGCATATACCATTTTTCAAAGTAAAACACTTGCACGTCACGATTTATACAAAGTGACGTCACTTTTATTTAAAATTTCCAGAACATCAACCCCTAAAATTTCTCAAATTTTTTATTTGTTTTTTCTTGTTGAGATCAGCATCTGTTTCCAATGGAAATTTGTGAGCTTGTCAAAGATGTTCCACAGTCGGATGTATTTTGTTAATAGTGTGAGATATAGCTTTAGCAAATCTGAATTTACTTTATCAATGTCTCGTCTGGAGTCTTGAATTGCTTCTCTAGTAAGTGCTAGACTTGCCCTTTTTAAAATATTCTTAGTTTTATGGTTGTTTTTGTGGAAACTTAACTTCATACAAGTAGGTATTATGCTTTCATCGCGACAGCGTTCTAAAAAACTAAGGTTACACAGTATCGTTTTGACTGTAGTTTTTCATATCGTCTAAGGTCTCGTAGAATTTCCTCCCCGTAGAGGTTAATTATATTGTATTTGAAATTTCCTTGGGAGCTATATGTGATTTCAGTTGTTTTCCGGGTTTGACTTCGCGTTAAACAGTTTTGGTTTTTAGAAAAACCATTGCTTTGACGACGTTTCGGCAAGGTCACACGTGCCATTGTCAAGTCAGATTAGTTCTGCTTCTTCTTTATGTTTGAGGAGAACTGATTTCTCGGACGCTGCGCGCTAAGTAATACCTTGTAGCGCTTCTTGTGATTGGCCCTGTGCGCAGAGTGGGCGGGGTCTTCTTCGATATTTTAATTTCTACGTTTTTCTACAGAATTGGTTTCCACGTATTTGGGAGTCTTTGGGCATCGTCTCTGGTATTTAAATGTTTTGGATGTTTTTCGATCTCTATGGCTTTCCTGATTATACGTTTGGCCTTATTTTAAGTCTATATTGTGTCCTTTGTTTATGGCATGTTGTGCTAGAGATGAAGTTTTCTCTTTTCTTTTGATGGAGTTTCGATGTTCTTAGCGTCTAACTTGTATCCTTCGATTTGTCTGTCCGATGTACGATTTATCTCACACGGGATTCTGTATACACCTTGATTTTCCAATGCAACTTTTGTTTTTGCCGATGGTAATATGGTTGCAATTTTTTTGTCGGTGTTAAAAATAGTTTCTATTTTGTTTTTTCGTAGTACTCTGCTGATTTTGTCTGTCGTACCCTTTATATATATGTATATATGTATATATATATATATATATATATATATATATATATATATATATATATATATATATACAAATCGATCTAAATCAAAAAGTTGAAAAATATAATCTAAATACGCTGGTCCGGATGTTGGCCGCCCAATTGAGAAATATCTCGGCCCAATAGCTAATTACTTGAAACAAAAATGTCAAGGGCGGCCAAAGTTTTATAGTTGTGGATTGGTAGACCACTTACTTTGTTTGTTCAGAAATTCACTCCTGTTAACATCAAGGGAGGTCATGCTCTCTGGCTTTACCAACCAATGAGAAGGAAAAGTCTGAGTCCCAAGCTCTGGCTCCGGCTCTGGAACGAATCGTACCTAGTCAGTAAAAAGATAAAAGACGCTATATACAGGGTGCAACTGACGCCACGGAGTAAGCCGAAAGTCGTCCTCCTGGAGAGACTGTGTCCTAATAAACGCCAGAATCCACCGACTTGTTCCATTCAGGTATTGTTCGGGACGAACAGCCTGAAAGGGGCTATGTTGTAAGTCACATACTTCTAGTTGTGGCTCTGCCTGTGTTGGAGAAGTCCAGAAGTCTTTCTCCACCGCCTTAATATTCTAAGAGCTGAATATCACTACGCAGAGATGACCTTAGAGAATTTACAAGTTCTCGTCGTCCAGTGAGCTATTTTTCAGACAGCTTGATCTGCCCGTGTTCAGACAGGGGTGGGCTTTGAGGATTAATGTTGGCGATTCTCCGCATCAGTGCCAATTCTTCTAGGCGATAATGATTAATGTAATTAGTAATAATTTTGAGTGAGTTGAGTTAAATAAAGTTAGGGCTTCACTTAATATCTGATCCGACAGAACAATGTAAAAATATTTTCCTCTGCGCATTTCCATTAATACGTTACCGCAATGATATTAAATAGTAATGGGCTTCGTGAATTACCTTATCTGATATCATTGTATACTTTAATGCTATTTCTAAATTCAATGTTTAGTCGCGCTTTAATTGTGTTGTCACTGTAAACATCTTTAATTGTTTTAATTAAGTTTTGCGGAATTATCCTGTTGCCCAGAAATGCACATCCCCCAACTTAATTTTATCAAAGGCTTTTGTTAAGTTCACAAAACACAGGAACGCTGTTCTATTATATTAGATATATGATTTTATGGTATATATGGTTTTATCATATTTTTTGCATCATAAATACAACGTCTCTACATGATCTAAACTCTTGTTCTTCTGCTAATGTGAAATTATTTATTTTGTTTGTTACCAATTTGGTGCTCAATATTAGAATTGTGTTTCGAAGATTTATGTTTCTATAATTGGAAGAGTCCTGCTTATCTCCTTTTAAAACGTGGGCATCGCTATGCATTAACTTGATTTTTTTTTACCAATGCCACATCTCCATATCTGAAGAGTTCACTGGATATTTTATCTGGTCCTGGTTATATTCTGTTTTTTAATTTTCCTGTTTTACTAACTTCCCCAATGTTAACTTTTTATCTTCATTTAAATTGAACTTTGAAGTCTGTTGTGTATTCTGAATATGTATCTGTACTTATACATGTATTACAGCCATCTCATTGATTTCTGTATGTTAATTTCTTATCGTTCTCCATATTTTCTTCGCCCCATGTCACTCTTCAGCTTTTGATCATGTTTCCTAATCCTGCTCTTGGTTTATTTTATGTACTAATATCGTTGTTTTGTTCTTTTGTAGTCATCATATGTTTAATGATCGAAATCTTAAATGTCTTTTCGTTTTTCTCTTTCATCTTGCGTCTAAACTACAGTTGTTTATTGGGTTTATTTTGTCTTTTTACTGGTTGTTTTCTTAGTGCTTCGCTGGCTGCAATATCAATAGCATTTTATAAATTGGCCCAGAACTATTAATTCATATTATCCATATTTGCTGTTACCGAATATATTCTTATTTCTTCTTTCAATTTGTCCAGAAACCATCAGGGTCTTATGCCACAAATTGGTCGCATTGCTCCTGTAGTGATCCTTTCCCAAGTTAACATGCTCCTTTTCTAACTTGGCTTCACCGTACTGAAGACGACCAATAATCAGAAATACGTATATACGGTTACCTTCCATCGATATACCTTATATTATATATATACGGTATATACGGTTACCTTCCATCG